TGTCGTTTTTAGAAAAGCGCTGCAGCGGGGGGTGGTGAGGTGGAAGAGCCGAGGGAGGGGGATGGCTGTCAGAACACAAGAATTAAACACAAAAAGACTGACAATCATCATCTTCAATGGAGATGTCTACGGCTGATAACAGAGATGAGAAATGAACAGTGTGCGTCTCTGCACACGGTTTCACCATCTGTTTCACGTCTTTATGGGAAATGTTCTCCAGCTGAGTTCAAATCGAAAGCACTTTTATTTCACAAAATTGGCTCTTTTTTTTTTGCTGTTGTTTTTTACATGAAATACCACATTCATTGTTTTGCCCATAAATAATGTTCTTTTCTTCTTAAAGAAAAGGATCGGGTAAATACTTTCACACTACCTTCCCAAACTACTGCTGAAGATAAAAAGCACTGAGTAATGTGGAAGTCTGTCGACTGGTTTAAATCGTTTTATTTCACTATATAATTACATACGCTTTGCTTGGCTGTAAATATAGCTAGAATGAAAGAAGTGCGTTTCATAGAACAGAAGATACTAAAGGCAGAGTTTGCTAAAAAAACAAACCAAAAATATAACAAAACAAAAAATTCAGATTACGTGGAACCCAAACTAACTGAGATGCCAGAGACAAACATAAATATGAAGCCAAACCCAGTCAGTCCAATGACTCATGTAGGTAAATGATTTCACATGTGACTCATCTTCAGTGATAATAGCAACTGCAAATTATCTGGTTCACGTTGTTAACTGTTTATAGGCTGCAGTCATTGTTCCTTGATGACTTTTGACGAGTTGCATAAACACCTTTCAGAAATGATCCAGCTTGCATAATCCTACAGTAGCATGACGCTCACAGACTGCAACAGGCTTACAAGATTTATTCAGGGACAGATAATTACAAGATACACAACTTTCCTAAACGGACCCAGATTGTGAAACAGTAGATATAAACTTTTCAATTATAGATAAAACAAACCTAGAGAGATAAAGACTCTCAATTTCAAGCACTTTTCCAGCGAGGTTTATGCTTTGATTGACATCTGAGAATGACATCACTACCACATTTAGTGCCTCTGGTTGTGAGTCAGAAAAGAACTAGTTATTTATCTTGGTTGCTAACTATCACTAGAAAATGTTTCCTCATGTCAAACACCGAAGTAACAAAAACATGTTCAACTAATTTAATGAGATGTGAACTACTGAAGTGTTTGTAAATGTTTTAATCCATTTAGCATTGGATGTTAAAATTGGGAACCTTCTGCAAGATCTGCGTTCCTGTTACAGGTTCCAGACTCAGGGTTCCTTCTTCTCACTTTTTCCGGCTTGTAGCTCAGACAGTTTTGCTTATGAGAGATACAGCAATGTAACATTCTGAGGCCTCATGGTCGAGTTTTCATCTTGCGTACAAAGTCTTGGAATCCTCAGTTTTTCTGATCCAAGTTCAAGTCTCTGATCCAGTCATTCATTCACCTCATTGACTCTGTGCTACTGTGAAATGAAAGACAATGCTTTTAACAGACTCATTCACTGGAACCCCTCCAGGTGAGAAGTGGCGTACATGATGGGATTGTCAGCAATTCATCAAAGAACCAACAGAAAGGAAAACAGCCAATCATAGCTGCACCTGAGGGAATTTGCCTTAAACATGAAAATTTCTGAACTGTTGGACTGAGTGACTGGAAAAACTCAGACATGCCGAGAAACACAGAAAAACTCCAAACCTTTCTCTGAGGTGTCAAGCCTGACAACTCCACCATCGTGTTGCTGATTGCTAAAAAACACATTTAAAGGTGTTTTATGATTGTTTTCTTTAATAAAAGCCAATAAACTGTTTTTTAAACAGGGAGTAGTATGTTTTCCAGGCACATAAGACCATTTATATTGTGCCATTTATAATACAATCAAGTAACTATGCTACTTTCAGTTGTTAGAAAAATGACCTATTTATCAAATATAACTGAAGAAATTTGACTTTGCAAATTAACACCTTGAAATTGGTTCTCTGTCTCTTTAAGAAACTTCTTTCACAATGATATATATATATTTTAACCAGCATTGAACTGAGTAGCTCATATGAGCTCAGCCAACGCACAGTTTCACCAGGTGTTTGCTAATTGCTGCTGGCTAGTCTGAAGGAGCTGAGTGGGGAATTGAGTGTTTTTCACAGCCAAACAGTTGCTACGTGATATTAAAGGATTTTTCAAACATGCATGAAAGAATCAAAGCAACACTTTAGGTATGTTTTTGATGAATGGATAACATTCTAACATGAGGTAGAGCTCAAAAAAGTCAATTTTACAAAACACCGCCCTTCAAAGACTTGTGGTTTTTTTGGTGCACCACTGTTGTGTTTTTGTTTCTTCTGCTGTAAATCAGAAAGGCAAGTACAGTGAGTCTGAAAGATCTGTAGGGGGCGATATTCGCTCAGAGGTAGTAAAGCATTCACCTGCAGCTAAACAAGACATTTCTGACATATTTTCCTTGCAAATGTCCTGATATAACAGATTCTCAGATCAGAGAAGCAAACGGATGGAAAGCATACTTGCTGTGCCTTGACAGGCGTTGAAAATACTTATTTATAAAACTTTTTCAATTTACCATGTCTGCTTGGAGCTTTGTGAAAATGTTCATATTGCTGTTACTTCCAGTGTTTATCAGCTCCTGCCCTGATGCGTTCCCCTCCTCTGTCTCTGGCAGTTGGGAAATTAACACAAGGGTTTTCCCGCTGCTTTAATGGTTTCCAACCAGGCTGTACAGATTTCACAGGGACATAAAAGCTGAATAAGGTACAACAGAGCAATGATTAAAAGAGAACAAGGGAAAGTTTTTGTTCAACTGCTGGACTCCATCCTTTTTTTAAAAATTTTAAACAATCCAGTTTTTTAAAACCCTTACATATAACTTGTTTCAATAAAGTTCATTATTTGTACCCTTAATAGTCAAAGGGAAAAGAAGAGGAAGCGCCTCAGCCTGATTCAGCCACCGCCGGACCTTCTGCATCATCTCCTAGATTCTACCAACTGTAAGCCCTCTGGCTCTGTTCAGCTTTCCACTCTGTGAGTTTTGTTGCTGTGCAAGAATTTGAAAATGAAGTCTTGATATTTATGTCACATGTGAATGCAGAAATTACTGACTCACCAGTCAAATATTTCTTTTTTCCCAAACAATGGTCGACTTTAGTGACGGGAGCTTTGGCTCTTTTGGTTCTTAACTGGGTTTTGTAGAACACTGACTGCAGTTCATGTAGGCCATTATGTGTGGATCTGCAGTCAGAGCTAAGAATGGTGGACTGTGATGTGCTTCACTGATATACACTTCCTTTATAATTTCATAATCATAATTTTCAAAATTACGTCCAGATTTTTCTGGCAGAGATATGTCAATAATATGAGATGTACTGAGATGCGACCCAACTGTTCAGACTGCAGACGTTTTGAAATAGATCACATAATTATCCGATTTTGTTCCGCATATGGAAGTGGCTCAAATCAGAGGTTTTGGAGATGAAAGGATCCAAACTGAGGCGTTCAGGCTGCTCTGAAAAAGTCAGATGTGAGTCGCGTTCATTCGCTATGTGAACGCAGCCCAAGTTTCTCTACATTTCCTGCTGGGAGACATAAAGTCGTTTAATCGAGCCCTGCAGCTTCTTCTGCCTCTCCCTGTGTATCTCAGACTGCTATCCTCTCTCAACTTCCTCTAATCATTTCAACCTGCACAGTAAATCCCTTCGTGGTTTTGGATTGTCCTTGGTGCAGCACTTCTCAGTCCAGCACAATTAAGGACACAGTGAGGTCACCACTTGATCTGTGTCTTACAGTCTATAATATCGGTCATCTGTAATGCTGCTGAGTCAGGATATTGAACTCATTTACAGAGACTTGACAGAAGAATTTACACCCCCACATGCTTCTTCTGACAAGTACACACATTAGTGTGTTTGATTTTCATTCGTTTTGTCAAACCAACACAAAATAGCACCTGATTGCAAATTGAATTCACCGTACAACATCAAGAAACACAGTTTCAATTCCTCTGAATTCCAGAAACATGTGGGTAAATTGACAATGCGGCTGAATTTGAATTGTGAGTTTCAGTTCATTGCTTCGTAGAACACGTTTTAGTGCAATTTCAGCTGCACCTCTCTGGGATACAAGTCTCAGTTCTGCAAATTTACACAATTCCCCATTTAGCTCACCCAGCTAAATAAACAATTTCTGCATTTCCGTTACAAATATGCATAAAATCATTTGTCAATTTTGTGATTGAGGCGCTTCCATTGTCAAGAAATGCAGTTAAAATCACTCAACTAAGTTAGTTCACCCGATAAATCACAAAACAGCAAGCTGCACCATCATCCTCCCACCGCTTCCTGTCGTCTTATTTGTCTTTTCTAGCAGTAGTAACAGCCGGCTGTTGGTCACATGATTTGTGATGCAAAAACAATGTTTCCACTGCAGCTTTGTGAAACACGCTAATTTTGATAAAGCCGAAAAACCATCACATCCCGAAGCAAAACCTTTCTGTCAAAATAATGTTTGTTTTAAATTGCTGTGTTTCTATCATAAAAGTAAGTTTTCATCATTTCAATTTGCCCAATTTTAAGGTAAGAGGAAATGCAATCAATAAATGGGCCTTCTTACAGATTTCCATATGAGTTTATGAATTGAACTTTGACTGGGCCAGTTTGACATATGAATATGGTTGGTGAATGTCCAGCCCAGTCTCACACCTGTTCCAATCTCTGACAGGTCTTCTTCTAAGATTTCCCTTCATTCATCCTTTTATCAACTCTGACTACCTAGAAGTTCTTTACTGAGGAAAAGAACTTCTCCACAGCATGATGGCACCACCACCATGCTTCCCTAAGAAATGCTCTGTGTTAGTTTTCCTCCACACACACATTTCTCTCCCGTTTATTTATTTATTTTTTTACTGACATGCCATGGATCACATCAGGCATCCCAGCTTCAGCTCATCTCCGCTGTAAATCAGAAACAGGGACTAACTTGGGCAGAGCGCGTTGCAGGTGATCTTCTGCACGGACACGCCCTCGCAGAACGCGCCCCCGTTCAGCGGCGCCGGGTTGGTGCAGGTCCTGGAGCGCTTCTGGATGCCCCGCCCACACGGCACGTTGCACGCCGACCACTCGGTCCACAGCGACCAGCCGCCGTTCACTGGAGAAAGTCCCAGAAAAGTTACAGAAGAAAAGAGAAGCAAGAGGAAGGAAAACAGTTGAGTGAGTGCAAAACAACACACGCTCTTTCCCTCTTGCAGAAAGAACTCTGGCATCCTCTGCAGCTTTAATAAGGGTTGGAGCTATTAGTGATCCTGCGGGCTCCACGGCGGCGCAGGGCAACAATGCATAACAGCGGGAGCAGATTGCTGGATATATGGCTCCCTTTTCCTTAATTGGCAGCTCAATGTTCTCTGCTCTTGTATTAAGATAAAGCCACGGAGCTGTACAAAGCAAAGGAAGCCATTAAGCAGAAATGGCATTTCTAAACGCGACTGACTCAAACAGCTTGACAGGTCGGAATCGACCACTTAGCGCCGCGAAAGAAGCCCTTTACTCCATGATCCCAGTTTATTACATGTTTGGGAGCTAAATCTCGAGCAGCGCTTTGAAAGGGGGCCGAAGTCGAGATTTCCGCAAGGCTTCAGGCAAGTAAATAATTAACAAGCAACACTCCCTTTAAATGAGATTAAGACACAGTGGCTTATTTCCTTTCATACAGCAGGCATTGATTTTAAATGAGAGGCAGTAAATTGACTCGTTGAATAATGCATTCGCTGGAATAAAGAGGAAACGGCTGAAGCCTCAAGATGGGATTCTTAATCACTGTTGCGTAAGGTTACGGGAAGTCAAAGCAATCGATCTAATGTGCCGTGTAAACATCGCTTCGGTGCAACGGGTCGGTACGGGCGGGCGTACCGTAGACGACCACGGGCGCCGTGGCGCTGCGACGCTTCGCCACGATGTTGCTGGCCAGACACGTGTAGTTGCCAGAGTCGGACAAGCGCGCCTCGTTGATGATGAGGCTGTAGTCGGCCCGAGGGTCCACCTTGCCGTCGGTCAGTGAACTCACCAGCTCGTCGTTTTTCAGCCATTCCACCTGCAGGTTAAAGACAAAAAGATATCAAATCGCATCGCTTCCGCACACAGTGTGACGTCCCCTCGCCCTCTTCTAAATAATGAATGATGGATCACAACTAATGGAGCCTCCTGTATTATTCAGACTATTGACTGATTTAACAATCAAACAGATAACAAGGCTGCAAGGCAGAGGCTTTTTATTATTTACTTATTTATTTATTTATTTATTTTTACAAATGACATCAGATCTGCTATAATTTGTCTTGGATACAGGAAAAAGAAATGTGCTGCCATGTTTTTCCCATACAATTTTATTTATCAGCACAAACAGAAATGAAATCAGCAATTTTCTTTATTTGCTTTTCTGAAGCTTTTTCTTCACCAGGTACAGTGAGGACAAATTCTGATTTTCAACAACGACCTGTTCAGAAAACACCATGCAACAAAATATAGAAAACAGGAGCGTGTCATAAAACAAACAACAAAAAAATTACGATCACATTCTTACTGACTAAAAGAGGGGTGTAAAAAAGTGGCATAGGATTAGGATTATTTGAGCCTTTTTTGTGCCTGCAGTTGGGCCTCCAACTGCAGTTAAAGAATAATACAAATTTGTTTATTACATTTTTTAAATGTGTCATAAGGGCTAAAAGTATTACCGACATAATTTTCTTAGAATCTGAACTATGCTCTTCACAAAGAACCCTTTTAAAATAATTTTCTTTCGTTCTTAATCATACTTTCTTAAAGAAGACATTTTTGTTCCTGTTCCCTTATTGATGTCTTCAAAGTGTCAAGGCAAAAATAGCACAACAAGCATAAGGAAGTACTTCTGAACTACCAAAGACAGTTCCGAGACTTACTTGGCAGAAACGTAGCACACGTCACTAAAGAAGCAGTAAGTTTTTAAGAAAACTGACACAGTGGGAGGAAAAATAGAAGTGGGGAAGTCTGACATAATAAGACTGTGTAAAGGATTTCCTTGTAAAAGAGTGTTTAAAGCTGGCTTCCAGTAATAAATATTAACAATTTCAATTTAAGTCTTTAACTTCTTTGGAGCTTATTACCAAAAACAAACAAACCAACAAAAAGAGACGTTCAACACCTGAGTGGTCATGTTAAAACTTGCAAAAGTCAGAACAGGTTATATTTGTCTGAAATGATTTTTCTACTGATATAGCAAAATGTTATTTTTCAAAAATTTTTTTGAAGAAATAATGCAAAGGGTTTGAAGGATTCTGATCGTACGGATCTCGTTCCTCCCAGCTCGTTGACGCTGACATCATGCTGGCTCCCTCTGAAACATCACTGAACTCATTCTCAGATCATGTTGATGTGAACACATCGCTCATGTTCAGGTCGTTACATGCAGAACTGCTGGTCAGCGGCGATACAAGCCCCCCACCCCCTGCTGATTAGTCCCAGAGGGCGCGGCTCCACCTCCATTAGGCAGTCAGGAGAAGCACTGGAACCAATTACCAGCACCTGAGAGGAAAACTAATTAGGAATTACAAACTTAGCGACGCTTTAGTGGGTTTAGCCTGGTAAGAGAGCTGCATCGCTGCACTTGCAAATTACATTTGTAACATAGCAGAATGGGAAATGCTGATGGATTTAAAGGAAGTGCACTGGCACTATTTACAATGATCAACACTTTGTCTGGATGCAAATAGGAAGTGCTGGTGGGCATATGGAGGCGGCGGAGATAGAAATGATGGACAGGAGAAATGACAGCCTGCAGGTATGTATTATATTGGTAAAGGTATTGGGTTAACTGTCCATATGATGGAATATAAGAGTTCCAGTCATATCCTTGGTCATATGTGTATAAACGTAACACAAATACCTGCAGACAGCATCTGTGAGAGAATGGCTCAAGCTAAGAAGGTCAGATAATCCCAACGCGGTGCTGTGATAAGAAGCCACTTGTGCAGTGAATTCAGGCTTCATTTACACAAGACTATTGGCTGAAAGCTGCTGGTGTTTTCAGATGCTGATTGGGGAAAAGGCTCCACATTTAGATGGCACTGCTAAGACAACCTGTGTTAGCTGTAGTTATCATGCCAGGCCACCATACGGCACTGTGACTTCAGAATGTCATCACATACGCTTTTGACCTTTTGCTTCCACCTCGTAATAAACAGCTGCCTCCAACAGATGACATGTAATCATTGTCAGAAATTGTATTAAATTGGGCAGGTTAAGAAGCAGCTCTGTCTAAAGGCAGCCTTAGTAACAAAATTTCTTTACAACTGCAAATTCCAAAGTTCAATCAAATAGCAGCAATGGAAAAGACACAGCTACAAGGGAAGGTCCAACCAGACAGCGAGGTCATTGCATGCTGAGGGTCACTGTGGGAAAGATTTGCTAATTTTATGAAGTTATTAGCAACAGACCTCCTGGCTTCAGACAAGAGGTTTCTATACAGGAACCCAAGTTTCTTTCTTTTGGAAAGAAAATAAACTGTTTAGCTTGATTCCTAAGTGTTTGTACTTTGCTGTCTGATCAGAGATTGTTTCATCTGCAGTGGCGATGACCAAGTTGAGGGGCATTTAGACTTTTCTGATTCCAAATTCAAAAAGATGTTTTGGATATCCAAGGAGCTTTGCTTTGGAGAGTGAGAGCGTTTCAGGGGATGGACCAAAATCATATGGAGTTATCAGCTTATAAATGCACAGCCCCTTTTCTAAGGACTTGTGAAAATCATTCATATAAATGGAGAACAGAGAGGCACACCTTTGGAAATGCAAAGAAACAAAGTACAGAGTAAGAGCAGTGCCTGGTGTGTGTAATGGAACGTCTCTTCATGGCTATATCCAAGCCTCACACACTGCGGTGAAAGGTAAAAGCCGCTGGGCTCTTAGAGATGTGTTCTATGATTTGGTGTAGAAGTTTGACTGGCGTCAGCCCGACAGAGCAAAATTAGGAATAATCAAAGCAGGGGGCTCAAATTATCGATACAAAGTTAGAATTTCTGACTTTTAGCATTTTCACTTGAGGGTCACAGATTTGAATATTTTTGTGATTTTAATGGACATGCGGCCTTGATGACGCACACTTGGCCGGTTTTCCAAGAGCTCTGCTGCTGTTGCGACAGTGATGTGCAGTGGGAACAAGTTCTGAACAAACATATCTACAAGAAGAAATGGAAAAAAATGTCTTGTTATTTTTAAATAACTTTTTCTAGTTGTTTCATTAGAGCCAGTTTGCTTAGCAACGGTTTCCAACAGGAATCTGGTCTCAGAGTTAAATCAGTAACTTCTTCAGTGTTAAAAAGTTGCTTTGTTGAGATTTGATCAGATCTGGTCTTATTCGTGTGTAGATGTGTATGTGTGCGTGTGTACCTGCAATGTTCATTCATGCCTACATAAAATTCTGATCATCAGTAAAAATAGAAAACAATCAGCTAAATAACAGTCAGGTAAAAGCATCAATCTTCACTCATCCTGAAATTCAAAAATCACAATCACCAATAGAAAAACTCATATTGTTCGGTCATTTTTATCAGTTATTTCACCTAATTATAGCATGCATTGCCCGGCTGGAATTGTTTCATTGTCAAAGGCGATGGGTAGACTGCAACTAGGTTCCCCACACCGTCTCAGCGCAAATTCAAAGCCGATCCTCAAAGGAGTCTCGATTCTTATCTACAATTAAAAGACGGTCTTGCACCCGGGTTTCATCAGAGGTGAAGCGCCATGCCTGGATAAGAAGGCAGAGGAGTGGAGGATAGAGTCTAATCTCTCATTATTAAAGTCATCCGTCTGGATGGGTGGCACGAGCCGTGGCGCCCGTCCACACCCTCTGTCTTTTCAGCTGCCCCCCTCTTTTATGCATTCATTTCTCTTTTATCCACAGAAATCTCTGACTTAAAAGAGGCAATTATTGTGTGTCATCAGCAGGCTCCTCTCAGTCTGGGGTCTGCCTGCTATGAGCAGCCATGGAATCATCACAAGATTCTTGAGGCAAAAGAAGTGACACACAGAGCAGGGAAGCAAATATTGGTTAACTTCTGATTATTGATTAATGGTTTTTATTTTGAAATGAGTTCTATTTGATCGGGATGACAGTGGTCTTGCTGGTTACTTGGCTGGAGGAGAGCAAGTTCCATAGGAAATGAATGGAAAAGGAGCAACATCACTTCCTGTGCTTCATGCCATAACAGCATGAAGTTTCACTGTCAGCACTGATCGCCCAGTCTGCTGAAAGCTGCTGTATATCACAGACTGTCCACTTCTTTGGCACTGAGTGTAAAGTCTGCACCTCTGAACATCTCTCGGTCCATGGGGGACTAAATATTTCAAATATTTCATTCTTTTCATATTTTATTTTTCAGGTCAGTAACCAAGAGGTTCCCGTTTTGATATATTGTAGAAACATGCAAGTACTGTACTAATTAATGTGAGAAAACACAGTTTTAATAGTTTATTCTAATATTTAGTACAGCTGACAAAAAAAAGACTTCGCTGTGGTGGCACAGGGGTAAAGGCTTTACCCAGCCCACATATAAGTCAGACTTTCTGAGTCCTTGACGCGGTTTGAGACCCTGACTGATGACCTTCACCTCATGTCTTCCCCCTCTCTCATTACCTTCTGTCCTGTCGATTCACTATCAAATAAAGGCAACTAGAGCCAATAAAACCATAAAAAAGATGTGCTTCTTTTTTTACGTTCAGCTCAATATGAAAAATGCAGCATATTATGGAAACCCTCTTGATACAACAGAAAAGTTGTTCTATTAGAAAACAGCTCCTTTATCAATCAAGAAAGTCAATTGATAATCTAATTGTTATTTAATTGATACTTACTAATTGATACTGATCAATACTTTGATACTTACTTAATCGATACTTTGCTTCCCTAATATGGAGATATTAGGAGAGAGACGGGGAGAATAGATGACAGGGACACAAATTTGCCTGTGCAAGACAGTGGATGTGAGAAATGAATTACCTAATTGGCACATTTGTTTCAATTAGGACGCGGTCATCAGTGTCAGCATTGACAGAGGAGTTTCCA